GCCTATGGCAGAAGTTGCAGGCCGGTGTCTAGATAATTGTCCAAAGACTGCTTGTGTTAGAGTCTCTCTAGACACCTCCCTCACAGGCGTGGCCGAAGAGTTGAAGGAGAGGATGCCCGCCTGGGCCAAGATGAGAAAGGAGAATAAAGGGCAGCTTATACTAGTAGATGTAGAGATTATTAGAGGTAGAGTAAGGGCCCTCGTAGATTCAAGGGCTACCCGCAACTATATTAATAGAAAAGCGCTGCAGAAGTTGAAGCTAGGACTTAAGGTCCAAAAGCTAGCAGACCCCATAGTTAGTATCCTCGCAGACAATCGTACTACGGTTGTCGAGGAGTATGTAGAGGGAGTCCATGCGTATTTTCACCTAGAGAAGGATGGGAAAGTGGAGAAGGTTTTCCACTCCCCGACTCTCCTCATAGAAAACAGCCTCCCATTTGATATTGTCCTGGGAATGGATTGGGGAGAGGCAGCCGGGGCCACGCTCCATTTGAAGGAGCACGAGTGTAGGCTCCCTAGTTCTTCAGGCGAGGCTAAGACTTCCCGCCTATTCCATGTGTCAGGAGTAGAGAATTCCTTGGCACATGGCTGCCTTAGTGCTCCTACATTCGCCAGATTAGTGAAAAAAGAGAAACTGGAGGAACAGGTTTTTGTTGCCTATGTTAGGCCAGTGACTGAGCCAAAGAAGAAAAGGCGATGGACCCTGCGATTGCCAAGTTGCTGGAAGAGTTCAAAGATCTAACTGAGCCGCCAATAGGAGTGGTACCGCGACCCATCCAGCACCGCATTGACATAGAGCCTGGCAGTAAAACTCCTAAGGGCGCCGTGTATAGGATGTCCCCACGGGAGTTAGAGGAGCTTCGCAAACAATTAAACGAGCTCCTCGAGAAGGGTTGGATTAGGCCCAGATCGTCTCCTTTCCGAGCGCCTGTTCTCTTTGTTCCCAAGAAAGAGGGAGAGCTGAGGATGTGCATAGACTACGGGGGTCTGAATGCGATTACAGTGAAGAACGTTGAGCCACTGCCTATAAATCGATCTCTTAGATCGAGTACAGGGGGTGAAGTATTTCTCCAAGATAGATTTGAAGTCCGGATATCATCAGATAGAAGTGCATCCTGATCATCAGTATAAGACAGCCTTCCGAACTAGGTACGGGTATTATGAGTTTATAGTGATGCCCTTTGGACTAACCAATGCACCAGCAACTTTTCAGCGGTGTATGAATGATTTGTTTAAGTCGTGGTTAGACAGATTTGTTGTAGTTTACCTAGATGACATTCTAGTGTTTAGTAAGACCCTTGAAGAGCATCAAGGTCATCTCAGGCAGGTCTTGGAGAAGCTGAGAGAAGCTAACTTCAAGATCAATAAAAAGAAGTGCAATTGGGCAAAGACCCAAGTTTTGTACCTAGGCCACATCTTAGACGGAGACAGCGTCAAGCCAGAAGATAGCAAGATCGCAGCGATTAGAGATTGGCCCACGCCACGTACGCTGACAGAGTTGCGATCGTTCCTGGGCTTAGCTAATTACTACCGGAAGTTTGTGAGGAACTTCTCTACCATCGTTGCGCCCCTTCGCAGATTGATGAGAAAGGAGACCATCTGGAAGTGGGATAAGGACTGCACGTCTGCCATGAAGAAGTTAAAGCAGGCATTGATAGAGTACCCAGTCCTTAAAGTCGCCGATCCATCCTTGCCCTTTGTCGTCACGACTGATGCGAGTTAATACGACATAGGCGCAGTGTTACAACAAGACGATGGCAATGGGTATCGACCCGTAGAGTTCATATCCGCCAGGATGCCTTCAGAGAAGGTCGCGACATCTACCTATGAGAGGGAACTCCACGCTCTCAGGCAAGCCTTAGACCACTGGAAACAAGCCTTAGACCACTGGAAACACTACTTGCTCGGGAGGCACTTCAAAGTCTAGTCCGACCATGAAACTTTAAAGATGCGGGCCAAGATGACACCTATGTTTACTAGGTGGGCCGTAGCGATAAATCAGTACGACTTCGAGCTCAAGCCTGTCAAAGGGAAGTATAACGTAGTCGCGGATGCTCTTAGTAGGCGAGCAGATTACTTTGGGGCAATAGTGCATTACCTAGACATAGCGAAGGATCTGCAGCAGAAGGTTAGAGAAGCCTATGCACAGGACCCTGTCTATAGTGACCTCCTTAAGAAAGTGAAAGAGGCCCCAGAGATTGAACCGAACTACCGCACTACTGAAGGGTTGCTCTTCGAGAAGACTAATGTATTCGACCGCCTGTGCATTCCCCGTAGCGAAGAGATTCATAGTCTGATTCTGGGAGAATGCCACGACAGAGAGGGTCATTTTGGTTGGCAAAAGACGTTAGCCAATCTCATGCGTGCGTATACTTGGCCAGGAATGAAGAATGACTGCGTAGAGTATGTTCGCAGTTGCAAAGTCTGCCAACGTAACAAGAGTTCTACGCGCGCCCCACTAGGTCTTCTCAGACCCTTACCCATTCCGGATGAACCGGGAGACTCAGTGTCCATAGACTTCATGGACACTCAAATCAAGAGCAGGCATGGCAAGAGCCAAGTCATGATCATAGTCGACCGTTTTAGTAAGTACGCAGTTTTTGTGTCTTTGCCGTCAGAGGCCCGTATGAATTTAGTTATACAGAGATTTTTTGACTGTAGGGTGAGTGAGAATGGGATCCCACTGTCTATAGTTAGCGATAGGGATAGTTGCTTTACTAGTCAGAACTGGCAAGAACTCATGGGAGTATATGGATCTAAGTTGTTGATGTCGTCCGGCCGTCATCCAGAGACTAACGGTCAAACAGAGCAAATGAACAAGATCCTCCAGCAAGTTCTGCGTATGTACATTAGGCCAAATCAGAATAACTGGGACGAGATGTTGCCTCAAGTAGCTAGTACATATAATAACAGCGTGCGTTTATCCACTTGCCGCACTCCCAACGAACTGCACAAGTCCTTTAGACCACGCAGACCTTTCGAGGGACTCAACCGGGATCAGATTCACAGATTACCGCCCTGTGCAACACGAGAAAGAACTAGCTATTGTAGTAGAAAACCTCAAAAAGGCCCAGCACAGGATGATAGAGCAAGCCAACAAGCATCGTCGCCCCTCACAGTTCCAAGTAGGCGACTTAGTCTGGGTCAGTTCTAAAGAGTTTRCACCTGAGGAGAACATCTCGCAGAAGTTACTGCCCACCTATAGAGGACCGTGGCCAGTCTTAGAAGTCAAGGGCGGCGAAGATGGACCGTCCTATACCATAGAACTCCCAGCACACCTCCACACGTATCCAGTTTTCCATGCATCAAAGTTGTTACCGTGTCAAACGAGTGATCAGTTTCCATCCCGTAGGTCAATGATCCCACCAGATATGGATGGAAGATACGACATTGATGGGATAGTAGCTGAAGATGTCTTCAGGACTGGAGGTAGGGGTCGTCCACAAAAACAGTACAAGGTCCATTTTAGTTACGAAGAACCGGAAGACGACCGCTGGTTTACAAGATCTGAACTACTAGAGACGGCTCCCGATATAGTCCGGGCCCTACGAGAGACAACAGTGAGGTAAAGGTCCTGCCTTGGACTGAAATTTTCTCGGACGACCTCGAATTTAGGCCGGCGGGAGTGAAACGGTATTCACCAGTTCGCAGTAGCGAATGCAGATCCCAGGGCTCGATCCCTAGTTCCCCGTCTTACTTGTGTACAGTACCAGTGTCAACCCGTAGATTTAAACCTGTGACCTGTAGGACCGCCAGTGGTGGGTAGGTTTTCGTAGGTCACAGGGTAGAAGGGAATCGAACTGTAGATCTGTAGAGTAGAAGTCTAGACAGTTCCGAAATCGTAGTTGTAGAATGTCTGAAGGGTCAAGGTCGTAGCTGCTACTTACCTGACGGGGCAAAGTCTTAGCTGCTACAGTACCGAAAGGCCAAGTTAGAGGTTTCTAGAAGTGGACTTTCGGAGTGGACCTGCGTTGAACAGAGACAAGTGGTCAAGTGGTGGGAGGCCACCTCGCTGAGTCAACAGTCCCAGTTAGGCAGTCCGGTCCTGTCCAGCAAGTACCGTCTGGGACTGTGTGCACCCGGGGCCAAGGGACACAGGGCAGACCAACGCAGCGCAGAAGTATAAATCAAGAGGCTGCGTCCAGCCATTGATTCATTCCTGCGGATGCCATGCGGAAGCGCTGCCTCGGCAGCTTGTGCGAGGAGGTTGGCAGAGGGCCTGAAGACGAAGTGGGCGAGAGTGACATATCGTAGCCATAGCAGTAGGATAGCGGCGGCCATAGCCGCCATAGCTGTAGTTTAGGGGAAGTGTGTATGTACTGTGTGTGTGTGTGTTGAGTGTCGTGTGTGGGACATCCAGGGTGATCCAGAGCGTGAACAGCGAGTGTTTGAGGCGCACAGCCGCCATAGCCAGTTGGAAGAGAACTCTTATCTGGTTATGATATCTTTGAGTACTGTGTGGGCGAAGGTCGCCAGTTTACTGTATCGCTGTTTGCATGCATGAGAAGTGTGTTTGAGTACGAGGCTGATTTCAGTTTTTCTTTTTGTGTGATGTGTAGGTGCTCCCTAGCACATTAATCGCAGGGACGTCAACAGTGTCTCCTTGTGGTTCCTGTACAAGTCGTAGTGACATTGGAGATGTCTGGGTTTTGCTGGAGTGCATCTAAAGCCAATTAGGACACAATTGTTAAAGAATGGGTGGCGAATCTGGGTGAGATACGCTGGAAAGCGATCCAAGGCATAGCAGACAAACAGTTTCACATTCTTTACATATATCAACAAGCAGACCACACACACACACACACACACACAGATCGTGGATTAACAAGAAGGAAGAAGGGGGTAAGATTCAGAGATATCAAAGATGACCTCAGAGACCACGCACGAAAGACCACGACTCACAATGACGTTGTGAATGAGAAATGTACTGTGCAGTGCACATACAAACAATGTGATATACATCGACGTTTCGGAGCACAGGGAGATGCAGAAAGGAGTGGACTCAATTTGCATGATGAATAGCAACATGCATCACTCTGCTGCTTGTGGCCAAAGCCTGCTGCTCGTTTTTAGAATATCCATGGGTACTCTCTCCAAGGGGCGCCGCAGAAACAAAGTGAACCCCCAATCGTAGGGGTCAAACCCTGTGAGTGCTTCCGACTGATGCAACAGCACTTCAATCCTGAGACATCTCCCCACTCACTGGAGAGGATTTAGAGACTCGCAATACCTAAACCTTGAAAACTCCTCTAATCACCCACCCACTGCCCTGGCTGTGAACAGTCCATCAACCTGACCTCCCTCTGTGACAGTGTGATGTGCACAGTGCGCACAATCTCTTCCCACAGCAGGTCTTCATTACCAGAATATCACTCTGCAATCCTACCCTAAATAGAAGCCCCCTCAAGCAAAGGAGCTACCATCCGCATTTTCAAAAATCTTCCAGTGGAGCTAAGAGCCAAAGAATACACATGGATGACTGACTACTTGCTAGACGTCACCACTTTGCCAGGGGTGTTCCAAATACAGCAATACAACAGAGACACCGAGAACATATTCAATTCCCTGCCAAACRGGTAAGTCCTCCTTTGTGCCCCAAGCGGACTTCAGGTGGCAGCTCACTTGATTGGCTATCATAGTCRTAGTCCCATCGCTGTTGGSATCTTTGTKTTTGSTTGGATGGTGACTTCTTCTACCCCGCATGCGTTAATAGAGGCTCAGTTGTTCCCCCTGAGAGCCATAAGCAGCACCTGGAGATGCTTGTTGCTCGTACAGTATTGAGTATCGTCCACCCCTAGAAAGCAACTCGTCATGTTTACCCTCCTCTAATATCTCACCACCCTCCATATATAGAATCCAATCTGCATTCCGGATGGTTTCTAGACGATGAGCGATGACCAGGACCTGTGTTCAGCATGCACTCGGACACACACCACATGCAAACGAGTGCAAAACAGAGAGTCAGCATTCTCATTACATGGATAGTGAAACAGAGAGTCAGCATTCTCATTACATGGGTAGTGAATGACAAACGACAACAACAAGATTGCTGTATAATGGACCTAACTCCTGAAGCTTACATCACCATCATCATCATAGTGCAAACTACGACCCAAAGACTGCTACATAACATTGCTTGTTTTGACCAAGGATCCTTCCAGCTACGATCTTAGAAAACATCATCCGCAGACTGCGGCAGAAGTTTATCAATGTAATGAGCACTAACCACCACATGCCACAACTGGTCAGCAGGATCTGTTCYGTRCGCTCAATGCCTGCACACCAGTAAATATAGAAGCCTCRTTCRACCAAGATGGCGARCTGAGACTTCCACCCCTGAGTACAAATGCTCTGCTGCTACTAATAATTGCCTACAGGAGTTCCCATTTTTCATTCAGACACTACTGTTTGATCTGGCTTTTGCCGACTGCCAGAAAATAGCTAGGAACTTCGCTCCTGCTCGAACTGCAGGACACCCATGACCCATTCCACAAGCACACCTACAGCTTTCGTTACTTCTGCATACTTGGCTGATTTGTCTAACCCAGCGCTACCGGTAGGAATCTCTTTTGTTTTCCAGTTGACAACAACAAACTGAAACGCATGGGGAAGGAAGATTCAACTCACTCGCGAACTTGGAAGTTATAATATATTATATAGATAACAAGAATGGAATGCTCGACTGCGTCTCTATGTTGTCCAATTTATTATGGAAAGATCCATAGCAGAGGCACGACGAGGAGGAGGAGGAGGAGGAGGAGGAGGAAGGAGCAGGTACAGCTGAAGAAGGAGAGGTAGAGGGGAGGATAACATCCAAAATAATTGAATGCACAGAGGCTGGAAAGTGAAGGGAGGGATAGGTGGAAGAGAAAAGAGCAATGAGGTGTGCAGGGAGGATAACCGTACAGAGGGGCCATCACAGAGAAGAGGGAGGAACAACAAAAAGGAGGATGCAAAGAAGAGAGAAGAGAGGAAGGCCAGTCGGAGGAAGAAACGAGGACAGGATGGAAGCTGAGAGAAAGAGGGGGAGCTAATGTGGAGAAAGAGGTGGGCAAGAAAAGGTAGAGGACAAAGAGGAGGATGAGAAAGCGTGAACAGCAGGAGGAAGAGAGAACCCGAGAAGAACTGTGATCTTCTCATGCATCATGCATCCATCAAGATGCGGCACCCCATTCTCACATTAAGCACAGGCATCCTTTCTTGACTCTTCAAAATGCTGAAACTTATTAAATCGCAACATATAACAGTTGCGTTTCTTTTCAGCTCTACCTGACTTCTGATGGAGGAGGACATTCACAGCACAATTTTCCTTGTACTCCCCTCCCCCCTCCCCCCCTCCCCCCCTCCCCCAAAGGGCCAAAACCATAAAGAGCTCCCAAACACACACTACAGTTTGTCCTTGATTTCCAACAATCCCAGGGCAGTGCAATGACAAAGTTCTCAGTATCAGTAGTACAATCGCATTCGATGAACAACCCTCTATGCCAGCTTTTGATCTTCTTGGGCTGCACTCTTGCATTGGTATTTTTCGCTTACGATTCTTTTGTGGCCAGCAAAAACAGTCCAGGACACCCGGCATGAGAGGCAAGGACTGCACCAAATGGGTCTATAATGGTGCGTAGTAGTGCGTACCAGTCGATGGGTAATGGACAATGGACATGGCCAGTTCAGTGCAAATGAAATCATGCCAGCAGAACGGGGAAGAATTGACGAGATGAACCCATTGAAGGCCGACAGGTGTGTCAGGTTTCAGTTGCCTGACAACAAGACTGTGAATCAGATTTCCTCTGAGAGACTAAGACCCATTTCACCCTCGTTTTTCCCTTGGACTAGGACTTGAAACGGTATTCACCAATTCGCAGTAGCAAATGCAGATCCCAGGGCTCGATCCCTAGATCCCCGTCTTACCTGTGTACAGTATCAGTGTCAACCCGTGGACTTGAACCTGCGACCTGTAGGAACGCCAGTGGTAGGAAGGTTGTCGTAGGTCACAGGGTAGCAGGGAATCGAACTGTAGACCTGTAGAGCAGGAGTCTAGACAATTCCGAAGTCGTAGCTGTAGGATGTCTGAAGAGTCAAGGTCGTAGCTGCTACTTACCTGAAAGGGCAAAGTTGTAGCTGCTACAGTACCGAAAGGCCAAGTTGGAGACTTCTAGAAGTGGCCTTTCGGAGTTAGCCTGCTCACAGCAGAGGCAAGTGGTCAAGTGGTGGTAGTCCACCTAGTACAGTCAGCGGTCCCAGTTAGTCAGTCCGGTCCTGTTCAGCAAGTACCGTCTGGGACTGTGTGGACCTCGTGGGCCAAGGGATACAGGGCAGACCAACGCAGCGCAGAGGTATAAATCAAGAGGCTGCGTCCAGCCATTCATTCATTCCTGCGGATGCCATGCGGAAGCGCTGCCTCAGCAGCTTGTGCGAGGAGGTCTGCAGTGCGCCCGAAGACGAAGTGGGCAGAAGTGTAGTATAGCGCTAGGGTAGTGGCAGCTAGCGCTGCCATAGCTGTAGTAGTGTGTGTGCGTGTGTGTTGCGTGTTGCGTGTGGGACATCCAGGGTGATCCAGAGTGCGAACAGTGTGTTGTGTGGGCGCAGAGCGGCCATAGCCAGTTGAAGAGAACTCTTATCCGGTTACGATATCTTTGAGTAGTGTGTGGGCGCATGTCGCCAGTTTGCTGTATCGCTGTTTGCATACAAGACAAGTGTGTAGAAGTCGAATCTGATTGCACTGGCATCGGAGCTGGTACCCGCTGTTCCACGCGCGCGATGTGTGCAGGGAGGACGCGCCATAGCTGAAGTGACCGCCGGAGGAGGCAGTCCGCCATAGCGGACCTCGAGGTGGAAGAAGACGCCGCGCACCTGCAACAAGAAGACCACTACGAAGAAAGAGAGAGAGAGAGAGAAAGAGAGAGAGAGAGATGAGCGATCCAAGATTGGTTGTCACTTACCTGTGAGCCGAGCTGTGGAGTCTGGTGGAGGAGGAAGACAGCGGCCATAGCCGCAGGGCTGTAACACAGAGTACCGGAGGAGAGAGAAAGGGAGGACAGAGAAGGAGGGACTGAGGAGAGAGAAGAAGAAGGGCGAAGGAGGAGATCGAAGAAGAAGACAGACATAGCTGGGGGTGTGTATAAAAATATATATATATATATATATTGTCACAGAACTATTGACTAAGAGCATGAGCATGTGAAGTAGAAGAAGAAATAAGATGAGCAAAGAAAAGGAAAATGAAAGGACAGACAGGCAAAGAGACAGACAAACCAGAATGACACTTTGTTTCACAGTATTATTATTTCTTTCAGTCTTTTACAAAAATTATTTACACTGAATCAAAGGATAAAAATAAAAAACAAAGACACATTGAAATCATTCAGTTTCTCAGTCTTCTTAACGCCTCCTCCACTGTGCC